GGAGGCAGGAGAAAGGCAGGAAGGCAGGAAGGCAGGAGAAAGGCAGGAAGGCAGGAAGGCAGGAGAAAGGCAGGAACGCAGGAAGGCAGGAGAAAGGCAGGAACGCAGGAAGGCAGGAGAAAGGCAGGAACGCAGGAAGGCAGGAGAAAGGCAGGAACGCAGGAGAAAGGCAGGAACGCAGGAAGGCAGGAGAAAGGCAGGCAGGCAGGCAGGAAGAAAAGGCCTATAAGACCACTATCCAGAGAAAACCAGTATTAACACTTTGGTATATAACCTCCCATAACTTGATCTTTGCATAAATATATTTTTATCACAACTTTTATACAATTATATAATTTTAGTACAATTTTTATTACTAATTGAAAATGAGATGCTATAAATACTGTTTTATATCTCTTATTCTATCGTGAACTCTCTTCCATGCCAATAAATGTCTTTCTACAACCACTGTTGGTAGTGGCTGAATGGCATTCCATTGTACTGGTGCACCATAACTTTTTTCTATTTCCTATTGAAGGACAATTAATTAGCCTTCATCTGTGCTCAATACAAACCTCTGAAAATGAATTTTACTCTAGTCTTATCAGATAATTATTGCATTATTCCAAGGATATTCTTTTTTTGCCACCTTCTCTATGTGAAATTTTCTTATTCCTAACACCGATGCTTTTTGTCTAGATGCATTTCATGTCTTTGATGCAAACAGACAGATTCATATTTAATTCAATACAGATTCAAACATATAACCATCCTTTCAGGAAACACAGAATATCTTTATTTGAGATTTCCTTTCCCATGGGAGATGAAACACCAGCATCCAAGAAGCTTTTAAAAATAGAGTTTGCAGAGACTATTCTGAGTACTGCCCCTTGCTACATGAATGGCCTAGGGCAAATTGGTCAAATCCTTTAGGCCTCAGCTTTTTTTTTGGGGGGGGGAGCAGGTAGGGGCAGGGGGAGAGAGAGAGAGAGGATCTTAAGCAGGCTCCATGCCCAGCGCAGAGCCTGACGTGGGGCTCAATCTTATGACGCTGAGATCATGACCTGAGCTGAAATCAAGAGTAGGATGTTTAACCGACTGAGCCACCCAGGTGCCTCTAGGCCTCGGCCTTTTTTTTTTTTTAAGATTTACTTGAGAGAGAGTGAGCACAGGGGGTGGGGGGTTGAAGAGGGAGAGGGGGAGAGAGAATCTCAAGCCGACTCCCTGCTGAGCTCAGAGCCTGACACAGGGGCTCAATCTCATGACCCTGAGATCATGACCTGAGCCAAAATCAAGAGTCAGACACTTAACTGATTGAGCCACCCAGGCACCCCTGAATCTTTTTTAAACCTGAACCTCTGTGCACCTGCTTCACAGAGATACAGTGAGGATTACAGGATATGGTACTGACACAAAAAGCCCTGCACATGTGTAATGCTGCTAATATTATTCGTGCCTCCAAATCTCCAGTGGTGAGCCTAGCCATCTGTATCTGTATAAGGTGCCTACGTGATTCTGGTGCAGTTGGGCCAGTCCACACACTTACTCTGAGAACCATTAGAGAAGGTGATCTTGTACACAAAAGAAAAAATTCTATGGGGCCATTTTTCATTACCTTGGAAAGTCTGGACTGGCTCTGTGTCTTTCCATTCTCTGTAAAATGCGGTCCATGCACCAGAAGCATCACCTGGGAATCTGTCAGAAATGCAGAATCTCAGGCTCCCTGTCTCCAGCCCTGCTGGATCCAAATCTGCATTTTAACAAGGACCCAGGTGATCTGCATGCTCACTGCAGTTTGAGCAGCACTGCTCTGCTCTTCAACCCTCTCTGATCTTGGTCTTCATATCTGAATGTGCGTGACAATCACTTGGGAAGCTTTCAAAAATCCTGCTGCCTGGATCCCACCTCCCAAGGTTCTGATTTCGCCAGTCTGGGGTATGGCTTGAGCATTAGTTTGTAAAAGCTCCCCAGGTGATGCTAAAGTACAGCGAGTATAAAGACCTCTTGAGAGTCTGCGGCGATTTCTCGAAGTATGGTCCACCACACACAAACTGCATCAGAACTGTCCAGGCTGCTCTTTGAACTTGCATGACCTGTGCCTCATCCCAGACCTCCTGAGGTACCAATACTCACGTGCTCTGTGACCTCCTCATGTGATTCTTATGTACACTATTCTTTTTAGCACTAGCCACCACAGGTCTAGGAGTGCTTAAAATGGGGTTTGTTGTATCCTATATTTTTCCTATGGTAACTGTGATTATTTGTTGAAGCATGGTATTTTCTTGATTCAAAGGCACCACAGATTATAAAATGTACTTTCAAACCATATCTGATTTGAACCACTACATTAAATATACACAACTGCGAGCAATTCCTGACTTTGAAAAATTAAAATGTGAAGAAAAATGCATTTTATTTTGTTTTTGTCTTGTTTTTGTTTAAAGATTTTATTTATTTGACA